AGACTGAGGCAGGAGAATTGCTTGAACCGGGAGGCGGAGGTTGCAGTGAGCTGAGGTCACGCCATTGCACTCTAGCTTGGGCAAGAAGAGTGAAACTCTGTCTCAAAAAAAAAAAAAAAAGATTGAATGATTGGTAATGTTACGTCATATTTTCCATATCTCTTTCACCCAAGGTAGTTTTTATTCAACCATTTGAGTGTGAGTTAGAGATATGATATCTCATGCCTTAATTATTCCACATGTGTATCTAAAAACTAAGTACGTCATTTTTTCTGGAAACTTTAAGCTGGATCTTAAGTCTTCATTGAACAATCAACAATTTTTTTTTCAGAAAGGCTTCATAGCTGATATTGTATACTATATTATAGAATGGTCTTCTCACTCTTAATTGCCTGCTATTGGTGATAGTAAGTTTGATTACTGAATTACAGATATGACTGTCTGATCTATCAATTATCAAAGTGTATTTTTTACTTCCAAGTTAGCAAATACCCTCTGGGGTGATACTTTGGCACTGTAAAATATGCTGTCTTCCAACCATTTTTCACTTAATAGATGTAGGGGTTTGGAGAGATGCTGGCCAAAGGACATAAAATTTCAGTTAGGAGGAATAAGTTCAAGATACCCATTGTACAACATGATGACTATATTTAATAACAATGTATTGTAGTCTTGACCATCTTTAAGACACTCAGTTTTAAGTGTTCTCACTACAAAAAATCATGGGTGCATAAGGTAATGTATATGTTAGTTAGCTGTATTAAGCCATTCTAAAATGTATACATACATATCTCAAAACATCATGTTGTACTTAATTTAAATTTGTCAATTAAAAAATAATTAATGTTTAAAGACCCAAACATTTAATGAATTGCTATATTTAAAGGCAAAGCTTCCCTAAAGACATAATTTATATTGTAAAGGAAGATATAGGTGCTTATTTCCTTTTATAGTTGTTGCTGTTGTTAGATACATGAAAGACTCTTTTAAGATGGTCCACTCATACACTGTGTGTGTGTGTATATGCATGTGTGTGTGTGTATATATAGTTGCTGCTGTTATTATATATATGAAAGACTGTTTTAAGACGGTTCACTCTTATATTGTTTGTGTATATGTATATACTTGTATGTGTGTGTGTATATATATGTATATGTACATATATACATACATATAACCTTATATATTGTAAGTTTAAATATGGCATGCAACCCCTACACAAAAACATATAAAATCACTTAGCAAAATATTTATAAAAAATAAGCCTATAGGTCAGAGTTCAGTTTTAACCCCAGGTGCTAACTTTTTACTGAATTGTAAAATACTAAAAATATTTTAATATTTATGTAAAATATGTAACATAGGTAGGGACTACAGCAAAGAAGTAGGTTGAAGACAAGATGATGAGTGTAGTGTTGAGTGAGAAAAGGTGTGAGGTTTCTTGGAATTTACATGAAGTTGAATCACCAATGGAAATAAAATTTGGTTGTTGGTAGAGCATCCAGTTGAGAAATGTACAAGTTACATATGTTATGAAAAATAATCGAAGCCTTGAGCCCGGATGAAGATATCTACAGACAGCATGTTGAAAAGAACAGGATGAAATCTGGAGCTGTGTGAAACACGACTATTTAAGGAGTATGGGGAGGGAAACAAGCTGTCATGGCTGAGGCATTAGTGTACATTCCTCCAGACTTGGAGTCAATGGATAGAAAATCTAGAAGACAGATTTTTTAAAAACAAATTTAAAAAACAGGACTTAATTCTAAAATTGGAATTGATCACCCTGAAAAGCAGTGAAGGCCCAATGGCCACAAAATTCACAGGAACGCATACATCTCATCAAAGCTTGTTATGGAAGTCCCTCTGACCCATTTCCAACCGTGAATGACTATGATGTTATGATTCAAGACTTCCTTTTTACATTGAAAGATGCCTTATTTGTTTGTATGAATTTGAGGATATAGGAGGTACAACAGCATAGGAGTTTATTTATAGCAAGCTTTTTATCCCCGCTCTGCATATAATACTGCTGCAGAAAATACAATTCACATCATTTTCAGTTGTTTCAGATCGAGCACCTATCACTTCAGTAAGATTTGCATTCTTGGTTACCATCTCTTTACTAATGTATTTATTAACTTGGATTCAATGTAAAGTGGGTAGGTATACAAATGAGAAGCAGACAGAATACCTGACCCTCAGGAATTTAGATTATAATGGGAGTGACAGACACATAAAACCCAGCACCTCTGATGCCAGTGTGTTTCTAGATGGGATGGCAGCTTTTACCAATTGCAGCTGAACCTATTTCAATTCAGGCATGGGTAGCCCTAAATTCAGAGCTGGGATATGAGAAGACCTCCTTTAGATATGGTGAACACACAATAGTCTCTTCCTCGCTAGCTTCTAGTCCATAGCTCGCATAATCAATGCTATTTAACCGAAAATTTAAGTAAATGTCTTTTGGACTGGCCTTAAATTAGTCCTCCGGCTCTCTTGCAGTGAGTCAATGGCTATTTCGTGTTATTGTTATATTTTGACAGGAAGGAGAAGAAAGAAAAAAATTAGCAAAGCAGCTAAAAATAGCACCTTTTGTTTCCTTTAGGTCTGGCATACCATTAATTAAAGGCAGAACAAGGTAGAGATATGTTAAGATTCATTGATTAATGCAAAAATCTATTCCTTCCTGAGCTTAAGAAGGGGCCAGAAACGTGATGAGTAGGAACAGAGAAGCAAATTTATAAGCCACTTAAGATAGGTTACATGCAGGTGGGAAAATCTATTTTATATGATTTAGGTATCTCATTTCAAATGACAGTAAACTTATCTTCCTCATCTCTGTTGTTTTCATAATAATATCCCCATTTTCAGGAAGAATTCAATAACAAAGCTACACAAACCTCATCCCAAAAGTCTTGTAATATTGTGTAGACGCACTGATTTAATTTATGTAGTGGGTTTGGATGATATTGTACTGTATCTTTAACAGAGTGATTAGAAATGTGTGGGTCCACATTAAATAACTGATTGTGTGTAAATTAAAAGTAGTAACTTCCCTTAAAAGTCTGCATTGTGTTACTAAAAAAATAATTCATAAAATTAAAGTGATTCTAAACACATTCTATCATTTAAAACAAGATTGTGGGTAAGCAGGGTGGTTTTCTTAAAAGCTGTTTCATGCATTTGACCAAGCAATTTCTGATGATCTTCCTACAACAACCTCTTATATTTGGATAGTCTGCATGAGCTAGATGACTTGTGACAGAACATTCTGAACACTGCCTCAAAACACACAAAAATGCCTGCTCCCCATTCTTTCTCATTGATGTGACCTGGAAGTTTGACCTAAACAACATGTGCATGTAATAAGTTCACAGGCCGAAAAGGTAAAGTGGACACTTTCTGCCTTATCACTTGCAGCATCTATTTTAAGGGTAAAATGTCAGCAGCCATCACTAGAGAGGCAAGGACGAATAAAGTGAGAATGAATATCTTTTGTCTTTTGTCTGCACAGATCTGAACTTTTTTTTTTTGTTTTAGCCACATCAGGTTATTATAATTATGTGATACTTGTGGGAAGGAGGAGGGAAAGCAGGGAGATTAGTGGGGATAAATATGCTGCATGAAAAAAACCAAGTGGACTTATCTTAGTCTTTTTATTCCTTTTGAAGAATTTCTAAATCATCCCTGAATAGCTGCGTCTAAGACAAAATATGTCGACCAAGCTAGTGGAGACGCAAAATTAATGACCTCCGTGATGTTTCAGGAGGGCATTACCTGCATGTTCCCACTGGCTCATCCAGAAGTGACACACTGTTCCCCGAGTAAACATCTGCGCTTCTTCCCTGCTCGGAACAGGAAATCCTTCCTCTGTAGAGAATGTTCAAGGTGATTCTCTTTAAAGCCTGCAGAACATCAGAACTTGAATGACCTATGGCTCTACCTTATTTGATTTAGGAGGGACACTCTCGGTTTGTATTGTGTCTCTGTCTGCTTCTCAGCAGCAGGCCTATGAACACCGCTCACAGTTATCTCACATACAGATGACAGGTAGAGTGATTGCGCACCAGGGAAATTTAGTGGTGTCACTGAGCTTCTATACACACATCTACTGCTACTCTGCTACTCCGACTCTGGATGTGGAAACTGGAGTGTTGTGCCTAGCCTCCCCTCTAAAATTCTGCGTAGGAAAATTAATGTGCAATTTAAGAAAAACAGAAAAAAATGCATTTTTTTACTTGAGAAAAATAAGCATAGCTGAATGAAAATACTTATACGGATGATCATGATATAGAATCTCAAACAATTTGGGATGTTTTAAAATATCCAAACCAAAATATCCAAAGTTACATGTGTTTGAGTCATGTACTCATTGCAGTAAATTTGTATCAGTCCTTAAAGACGAGAGATTGTTGCCTTCTGAAAGACGTGATGCTGCTTTCTTCCGTGTTTCTCAGAAAAAAAAAAGTATGACATTTGTATCATCCTCCTTCTTATTTGACAAGACCTATTTTTCCCCACATCCTCCCTGCCTCATATGAGGTACAGTCTCTGGAGTCTGTAATTGCCAGGAGATGAAGCGATGATGGGGAGTGATCACAGTCAATAGCTTTGATTAACAATAAGGTAGAAAATTAGCAATGCTAGCATTCAGCCACCCTGCCTCTCCCTCCTCCATATGCTCTCTCAGTCCGTGCTGGCGGCCTCGCAGAGGGCAGTCCGAGCCCTGCGTCAGCTTTGAAGTGCAGCAAAGGTGCAGGCAGAGCAGAGAATTAGGGAAATTAAGGAGAAAAAGTGGAAACTGTAAACCATGATGCTGAGACCTTCGCAGGGCTTAGTGTACCGCAGGAGGGGCAAGGATGAAGTGTGCTGTGTGTTGTCCTTGTGTGTGTTTCTGTCACATGTGGATTTACTTGTGTCTGGACATGCTGTGATCGAAATGGCAACTACTGTTACTACTGTGACCCCATCAGCAGCTCTGGTGTTGTTTCCGACAGACCCTGAAGATCTAGAGAGGGGGAAGGACAACGGGACGCCGATCCCCACCTCTGAGAACGATGACAATTCGCTGGGCTACACAGGTAGTGTCTCTTTCCCAAATACTAACTTCCTCCTAAAATGCCTCCACCTCCATCAGTCATCAACCACCTGTATAAAATTAATCCCTTCATCCCTGCTTCCAGCTAACAACCACAACAACTTCTCCTTTTTCAAACTTCATTCTGTTCACAGCAGATCATATTGCTAAAGGAAATACTTTTGTGAACAGAAATGTACATGGAAACTGTGGTCATTCTTCTTGTTTTACTATGTTTAATACAAAAGAATGCTTATCAAGCTGAAACTTTGATACTGCTAATATTTTTAGAATGGTATTTTCTTAGAAATTTAATATTTGACTACATTGTTATCATAAAGGAAAGAACACTACCTGCAAGTAATTTGGATTAAAATGTGTCTGTACCTTTTTTTTACACTTGTAATCTTAAAAACAACAGAAAGCAAAACTCTTAGAGCGATGTAATTCATAATCACCAACTTACATCTTCGGATTGTGTTTGCATGACTTATTGTTACCATAATTATGCACCAATGCCTTCTGAAATGTAGATGCATGTGTACACCAGCATAATAGTAACGAATTAACTAATTGTGTTAGAAATAATTGATATATAAGTGTTTAAGAGTGATTACCCTGGAAATATGTGTTTCACAAGGAATTTTTTGCTCTAAATATACTTGTATAATTTATACCTCTAACTCTGAGATAATTTGACTAAAACTTTGGATAAGGAGAAGGAATACAAGACATCACTTATAACCCATTGAATTAGATAATGTTGTAACAGTGATCTTATTGTAAGATCAGCTATTCGTAATGCTCTCTTCACTGGCCCTTGTTAACACAGTTCTCCATAGACTTTGCTAAGTTGTGGGCTGTGGATAGGTTGTGTGTGTATGAGGTGGGTTAGGTGGAGTTAGAGATGATAGAGTTCTCTTCTGTATCATAACAATCATATAGATGACTGTGTTAAAAGAAAAATGTAATTCAATAGGCACATTTCACTTTAGATAAAACAACAAACTGATATTTTACTTTTGAAGCATCCTCACAGTGTTCACAAATATCACTCTTCAATTTTATTCCTTGCTTACATAATTGTAGCTTTTAGACACTTGGAATAAGCAGTACAGTTAATAAGACCTTTATACGCAACTTTAATAGTTTTATATTTATTTTGCTCTTGTAAATAACTCATTTGCATTTTTCCTGTCTTCCAACATAAGAATGAGGATTCACCCATTAACTCGTCATTTACATTAGGTATAGCTCCTGCAGCACACCAACATGGCACATGTATACACACGTAACAAACCTGCACATTGTGCACATGTACCCTAGAACTTAAAGTGTAATAAAAAAGAAAAAAAAAAAAAAGAATGAGGATTCAAAGACCAACAAATGCAATCCATGGGGATGGGAGGGCACGGGAGTTTGTGTGATACGTTCCCAGGAACTTAGGTACAAAAAAAGTTGTAAATGTCATCCCTTAGTACCACCAATACCAAAGAAGTTCATATTTGTGAAAGGAGGAATCCAAGATAGTATTCTTTCTCAGGGATATCCTCATTCGCCAGTGCTTCTTAGTTCTGTTCCCTTGTACTCACCCAATCTAAACAACTGCATTGTTTTGATACAATAATAGGGTTTGCCCTTTATCTTTTGTGGATTTCCCCAAAATTATGTATAAGTAATGAATAAATCATGTTGGAGTGTTGAATTAAGAGAATTTAAATAACAATGCATTTCAGATTAAATACAGCATTAAATTTTTTCATTTTTATTTTTTCCCTTCAGGTTAATCAGGTGCCAGATTTGTCCTGTTAAACATATCATTAGATAAATTAACATGAGGAAATAAACTTATACAATTATCTTTATAGTCTATAATGGAACTAACTTAAAGTATTACAATTTAATGCAAAGTGACTGGAGGACAATCTTCTGAATAATCTTGTTCCTGAGACTGTAACTGTCTTTAACAATCTAGTGGTAAAGGGAGTCTATTCTGTACATTTCGTTTTGTAAAATTCTTGATTACTCAGAAACCTCTCTTCTGCTATACAAATTAAAAAATGTTATTTGTCTCTTTTGTTTGCATGTTAACCATACTTACACTCATTAAAACTTCCATTATGAGTGGTAAGAAAAGTAAAGTAGAAAAAATAATTTTGGCTGCTTCATGACAACTGTAAAGAAAGATATCAATTGGCTATATAGTTAAGGAGTAATAGTTTAAAAATATTATTTAAAATTGCCTACAGATATTGTTTTCTTTTGTGTGCACATGCATGTGTGTGAATGTCTGAATGTATGAATTCCCTGTACTAGAATCACAGATAATTGAGTAGATAGAATCTTTATATTAGAGAAAACTGAGTTCAGAGGAAAGGGAGATGGCCTATCTGTCCAGGAACATTTTTATATATTTAATATAAATTGTCTAGAGTTTAATATATCTGGAGTTTAATAACCCTGGGCATAGCAGCGAGAAGTTTTAATAAATAAAATATACATATTAAGCAACTTAGAGAATGTACAATGCAATTGTCACGTAAGTCATTACTTACAAAATGATATTAACAAGCAAGTATATCAGGTATTGTTTGTGGCATCTATGTTTTTTACACAGTATCTCAAAATGCCTGTGTAGATTTTATATATCAGATGTTAATTTTTTACTACATGTTGCTTCACTTCATTGAGGTAACATGTGAGACTTTTCTCCCTCACCCTAACATTTAGTATATACAAAAAAGAAAATAAACCTGTGTAATCCTGGAAAACATTTTTGGGGGAATGCGAAATAATCCCAAAAGAAGAAGATCATTATTTGACTAAAATTCCCATTTACATCCCCCTAATTATCCTTTTTTTCAATACTAAAAATAGTATAATTTCCACTGCAAGCTAATTTGTTCCTACAACATCTGCTCTGATACTTAAGCCATTTGGGACCATCACTACCAAACTGACCCATTTAATGAGAATGCATGGATCTCATATCATACACATATCTTAAAATTTATATATCCACTAATGATCTAGTGAACAAATGATAATCTCATAACAGTAGTTGCTGCTTATATCAAGTACCATTCTAATCTAAATTGTGTAAGTGATTGAGTTGGGATCAGAATTTTAAAATGGAAATACAGAGTACCAGAGAAGAAACATGTTGATTCCTTTTCTCCTTACCATCTCTAGAAACAATGCTATAAAGCCACGTAAGGTTTTGAAATATTTCAGTTTCACTCTTACAAATCAATGAATACAACACAATTTCTACGGTAGCAGTGTGGTATGTTATTAAAGTGGGCTTGTGCATTATTTACAGTGAAGTGGCCCATTTCTTGTTTAACCAAGCGTGTCATAAATATTGAGGGTTATTTAACAGTTCACGGCATATAGCCTTTGTTGCAAGAACAAGTAAGAAGAGGTTTCAAATCAGCACTTTATTGGGTCAAACATACATCCAAAAGAGTTTGAATATGTAATAATCAATGATTTTTCGAAGAGGCTTCTGAAAGGAGTAGAGTGTTTATCGACTGCTGGAAGTGCGTATAGTGTTTTACAAATATAAAAAAATTAAGTAATACATCTAAGAATGTTGAAATTTCTGAAATATACACATCATTTATATAGAGATTTCTAGCAAAAACTTTAGACAAGGACACAAAACTTACAGAAAAATTTATTGATATATTAAAAATTCAGGGAATAAGTGGGTGCTAACAAAGTTCTACTAACATTCTTAATCTTTTTACAAAGCAGTAATTAGAAAATGAATTTAACATTATTCCTTCTTCTGAGTAACAAAAAAAGTCTGTAAATTTGACTTGAAATGTCTAAAATATACCCTTTGTCCGATAATGTCTTCTATCTCCACATGTCTATTTTAAAGAATAGGTGCCTATATTTATAGTAGAATATTGGAAGAAATGTGAAATGCAAATTTAAAATCTTAAAACTAAAAAGTTATCAGAGTTATGTCACTGGCAATTTAAGTAAAATCTAGCTATGAAATGTCAGATGTTTCATAGTTATTTCAAATAGGGATATTCAGGTCTTCTACTACTCAACACTACCTCCAAGTAAAGTTTGGTTATGATTGTTTAGAAGGAAACAAAATACATTCTCTTATTAAAATAAAAAGAGAAAGAAAGAAAAACCTGGACAAATTAGTATGTTTGCCCACATAAACTTGGATGCAATCCCAAAACCTTGTTTGGTCTCACGCTGAGGAATTTCAACAGGCAGCTATTAAGTGATGATGACACTGATTCTTGTGTCTCCCTACATTCTTAATCGTATTGCTTCACCATTCAAACTAAGCAAAAACACCATTTTGGTATGTGAATTTTTAACATCTATGTACTGAATCTAATAACCAGTGTTTATTATTACTACATGCAGGCAAGACTGTTTTCTGAGCACTTTACCTGCAACAACTCATTTAATCCTTACAACAACCCTCTAAGACAGTGCTATTATTAACAGCGACAGGATCTGAGGTCTGCTTCAATATTCTAAAAGATAAATCGTTCAAAATTAATCACATATTTCTAATCTCACATAGTTTTGAGTTTAAATGAGTTGTGTCTATAAGCTACATTTGGGCATTTAGTTAGAAACTGAACAGATCCACCATGTCAGATTTGTCAGAAATATTAAACGTTATATAGTCTTCCCATTTTCTTACTGTCACTTTATTTGTTAAATTAATAGTGAGAGTTTACATTAGTTTTACTAAGCGAAAGATCCTTAGATGAGTCTACTGCAGAGCTAAGTATAATACTGTAAGTCCGTTTCCTTTTTTGTATGCAATTGATTAATTTTTGGCGTTAATAGTTGCATTTTTTAACATTCTAGATGTTCACTTATGTCCAGTATTCCATCAGTGATCTTCTCTGACACCTCCCTCATTAAACCCTTCATATTTTGTCCCAAACCCACTGTCTTTTCTTTAGACCTAAGACTTTCTTACATCACTCTTTTATGTTGGATCTCCTGTTTCTT